AGTGTGAAGTTAGTTGAGGAGAAAAGAGAAAACTGTTTGTGTTCTGCTACTTTATTTCTAATGCAGGTTCATATAATACATTTAGTGATGAGGATATCGATTACAGTTCCTTTACTGGCTCTGTGCTGAAACTGGATTACAGAAAAGCTGCTGGTAAGTGTTGAACTCAATTCTGAACTCAAATCTTTATAACGTTTCAGAAAACTGAATTTGTTTTGTTTATAAATGTACAGAGTCGCCACTAGAAGGCAGTGTAACAATGAGTGTGAAGTTAGTTGAGGAGAAAAGAGAAAACTGTTTGTGTTCTGCTACTTTATTTCTAATGCAGGTTCAGATAATACATTTAGTGATGAGGATATCGATTACAGTTTCTTTACTGGCTCTGTGCTGAAACTGGATTACAGAAAAGTTGCTGGTAAGTATGGACTCAAATCTGAACTCAATTCTTTAAAACACTTCAGAACATTGTTTTGACTTTGTTTGAATTTCTAAACTGATTTCAGTGTTTGTTAATTACGAATCAGGATGAGATCAGTTTATGTGCTTAATGTGGATGTTACTATGAGCTGCTCTGAATGAACAACAATTATCTAACTGCTGAGGCTACGACAAGTAAAATCCCATATCCAATCCCATATAAGATCACCTCTTTTCTCCTCTACTCATGACATGACAACCTCAAAACATTATTAATTATGAGTGTGCCTCCCACAGGTGAGAGGGCTTGATAACCACTTGTGGAAAACACTTTCATCTTTCTGACACTTGCACCATTGTTTTTGCACATTTGCATTTGACACATTTCATATAAAAAATTCAATTAAAAAAAATTAATTTAAAAAACTCTGCATTTATGACATGAGCATAGGAGTGGCCTTGACAAACCACCTGTAGAAACTCTTCTCGCGCTCAAAAAATGCTTATGAGCATTCTAAAGTCTGCCAGTATTTTCAGATAAACACACAGAGTAGTTCATGCATGTTTAGAGTTCATTACAGCTCCATATCACTACGCTGAAAAATAACATAATAAGAAACATCTGAACAACATCAGAACTGTGGCTTTAGCTGTGGCGACTGTATTAGCGGAATAATTCATGGCGGGCTGTTGAATTAGTAGATAATAATGTAATGTATAGACACTCATTATGTAACCACATCACCACCACCGGTGTGCATTACTTTCTTTTGTCAATTATTCCTTACATATAATTTTTTGTTACCATGTTCAGTGTCTGCATCCTAATATTGCTTTGCTCTTTTATAGTCTGCAAATCACAAAATTATTAAAATTTTTTCAAATGTTCAGCATTGATGTGTTGAGTAAATTATTTAAAACCTTTGTGTTTTTCATCCTTATCTAATAGGTCTTAAAAATAACATGTTTATGAGGACCACTTGAATTCTGGTGAAAATTTACATTAAATGACATTTTGTACTTCATAAAATATAAACTACCTTTATCTTTGTGGTCATTTTCTGGTATTTGATGAGTCGATGAGAGTTCTTGTCCAATGGGAAAATGCTTCACTCCATTATTCATAACAGCGTATACCGCTTTCCTATGACAGGTGATTAACTGTTGTGTTCTTCTTTAAAACGACAGGGGGCGGTCAAAAGCAACCCACCGTAAAATCAGACGGATAAATGGAGAGGTTGGAAGTTTCCCGAACTACATCATATCATAAATATCATTCAATTTTTATAAACGAATTATATTTATAAATTATAATACGATTATAAGGATTTTTATAACCATTCAAGATTTTTTTTAAATCAAACTTTGATGCATCTCTTGCTTTTGTTCATATCTCAGACAGTTTTACCTATTAAAGTTTATTAAAATATTAATAAAAACATTAGTTACTCTACAAATAGATTTTATTATGGCAAGAATAAAAGCAAAAAAGTACACTTACAAAAAATACAGATGTTTTTTTTTTTTTTTTAATTATTGTTATTTTTTTGTTAGCCATATGTTCCTCCACCAGCATCACATAGTGACCTGGCCACTATCCTGAGTCTGTCCTACTATTAATATTCAGATGTACGCTGATGACACAGTTCTATATGTTCACGTGAAACTGGCAGCAAATTATTTAACCGAGGCACAAGTTCATGTATCTGATTGGTTGTCTGAATCATATCTTAATTTGAATGCAAGTAAAGCGGTCTGTATGTTTTTCTCACAATCATTGACAGTAACCCATCATCCTGATGTGTGTGTTAAAGGAGAAAAGCTCAGGGTTGTCTCTGATTTTAAATATTTAGGTCTAGTTTTAGATTCACAAGAGACATTCCAAAAATTCCAGAAGCAATAAGGTCACTAAAATTGTTAAATTTAATCTGGCCAACTTCAGGCAGATACGAGCTTACTTGACTAATGAAGCAGCAAAACTTTTTATGCACTCCATGATTTTTTCTCATATTACATATTGTCTTACTAGTTGGTCACACGCTAGTAAAACAGTTCTTAAATCTGCTGAATCATTTTATAAACAGGCACTTAAAGTATTTAATCAGAAGTCTATTAGGTGTCATCAATGTAATATAATACAAAAACATTATTTATTTTGAGCTTTGATAATATGAAATATTTGGCTGATGCTTGTGTGATTTCTATTATTTTAAATGGATTTGCTCCACTATGTGAGTTTGTGACACACAAGAACAATAATGGTCAAGCAACACAATCTGTTACCAGGGGAGACTGTGCTGTACAGTTTAGATGTACAACTTTTGCATGATCAGTCTTCTCAGTTAGAGCCAGTCATTTCTGAACACACTTCCTATTGATTTAAAGGGTGCTACAAATTATTCAACTTTTAAATACAAGTTAAAGAAATGGCTAAAAGCAAATTAAGTTTGTAATGATGTGTAATTCTTTTGTCTAAGATTTTAAGAAATTCTTATTAGATGTTTTCGTCCCTTTGTCATATGTAACTTTTCTGTTTTTGTTTGTGTGATGATGTGTTTTTGGATTTTAGGTTGCCTTTTAAAATCTGGCAGAGGACAACAGATGAAAATTAGCCCTTGTGGCTAACTCTGGCTTATTTACAGTTTTACTGTTTATTAATGAGCATTCATTCATTTTCTTGTCGCCTTAGACCCTTTATTAATCCGGGGTCGCCACAGCGGAATGAACCGCCAACTTATCCAGCACAATTTTACCCAGCGAATGCCCTTCCAGCCACAAACCATCTCTGGGAAACATCCACACACACACACACACACACACACACACACACACACACTACAGACAATTTAGCCTACCCAATTCACCTGAATCGCATGTCTTTGGACTGTGGGGGGAAACTGATCACCTGGAGAAAACCCACGCGAACGCAGGGAGAACATGCAAACTCCACACAGAAACGCCAACTGAGCCGAGGTTTAAACCAGTGACCTTCTTGCTGTGAGGCGACAGCACTACCTACTGCGACACTGCTTCGCCTATTAATAAGCATTGTCTCTGTTGAATAAAGTTCATTCAAATTCAAAGAAGATGCCATACTAATGAATTATTGTGGGCTAAAGCCAGGCTTTACAGTTGCATTGTCCAACCAGTTGACCATGAGAGTAGACCATAAATGTCAACGTTTTATACATATCTGTGCTTCTGGTGTATTAATTTTAGACTGAGCTTCACTGAAATTATATTACACTACAGTATTTCAACATCAAACAAATACTACTTTTGCATTTTTCACCAACAATAAATGTAGTTGCTTTTATGGCTTTGTGTTATTTATTTTTCATTTTGTGAGTCGATTATAGAAGCATCACAAATAAGAGTGTTTGCACATTTTCTTGTGCTTAATGCATTTAACAGTTAATGACTATATTTCTAAAGGTTTTAATAATTAAATAAAAGGAAATGATAAATAGTTTTTTAAGTACTGAATATCAGGCTTTATGATTTATGTGGATGTTACTGCTGTAAAATCGAAATAGCAATCACTACAAGCTACAGTATATGGGGCATCTGCAGCCTTTACATCCAGGCAGTTTTATGACCCAGACAGTTTTACACCCCTGTTGTTCCTGATGCGTTCAATAGTGCGGTGAAAGATTAATGGCCAAATAATACAGTTGAAATCGATGTTTCCACATTATTAAATGTTCATTCATTCATTACATTCATTAATCTTCTGCCGCTTTTCCGGGACCGGGTTCGCGGGGGCAGCAGTCTTAGGAGAGAAGCCCAGACTTCCCTCTCACTTCCTCCAGCTCCTCCGGAGGAATCCAGAGGAGTTCCCAGGCCAGACGAGAGGCATAGTCCCTCCAGGGTGTCCTGGGTCTTCCCCGATTCCTCCTCCCGGTGGGACATGCCTGGAACATCTCCCTAGGTAGGCATCCAGGAGGCATCTGAAACAGATGCCCGAGCCACCTCGGCTGACTTTTCTCGATGTGGAGGAGCAGCGGCTCTACTCTGAGCTCCTCCCGGATGTCAGAGCTCCTCACCCTATCCATAATAGTGTGCCTTGCCACCCTTTGAAGGAAACTCAATTCGGCCGCTTGTATCCAAGATCTTGTCCTTTCGGTCATGACAGTGCCTGAGTGATCCTATGTTGTCGAGGGCTAATGGCCCTGGTAGTGTCTCCCAAGGCAAACAGGTCTTAGGTGACAGGTCAGACTAAGTGCGGTTCAAAAACCCCTTACGAGTTCAACAACATCAAGGACTGTGACATCGCCCGGTATGGCGCAGCCGGGGCCTGAACCCGTGGAACCCAGCTGGGCTTAGCCCGAAAAAGCGACGTGGGACCATCCTCCCGCATGCCCACCACTTCCAGGGGAAGCCGTAAATGGGCCGGTGCATTGTGGAACAGGTGGTGGTCGAAGGTTAGGACCACGACAACCCCATCGTCAGGCACAGAAACTGGCTCTTGGGACATTATTAATTGTCTTATTTATAAATATACTTTTATTTTTTTACGGTAAATATAAAAGCTAAGTCAGAAAGTAGCATGAAGTGAGTTTAAGTATACACACACACACACGATACACTCACCACACTATTTTCAGATATACAAAAGCCCAATTACAAATGAATTTAGATTTTCCCTCTTCCTTTTTTGAGGCATTAATCAATTATTGTGTTGTTTCAGGCTTCACTGTTCGTGGTCCCTCTGCTCCTCTGTCTGCTCCTCTGGGATCTTCAGTGGTTTTGCCCTGTTATGTTGATGAAGCTTTACCAGTGGAGGATCTGGAGGTGGAATGGAGAAGAGCAGACTCAGAGACTCTGGTTCATCTGTATCAAGATGGTGAGAGTCGAGCAGAGGTCCAGCAGCAGGATTATCATGATAGAGCTCATTTCTTTACTGAGGAGATTCAACATGGAAACTTCTCCCTCCGTCTGGACAAACTGACAGCTCAAGATGAAGGAGAATACAGGTGTAGAGTTCACAGTCAGCAGGATTCTGGAGAAACTGTGATCAAGATAAAAGTCAGCAATGGTGAGTGAGAGCAACCTAAATTCTGCTGAAAATTCTGATTAAATGAGGTTTGATGTAATGTATGACACTACTGTATTTGTTTTCTTTCAGAGAGTTTGTTAGTATTTCACTATTAGGATCAAATCATCCTGCTTCTGCATATGTTGGTGAGGACGTGACTCTGAACTGCTCTGTAGACTCTCAAATCTCACCTAAACACATTGAAGAGGTTTCATGGAGGAAAACAGATCAAGATGAAAATATTCTGGTTCTGCTTTATCAAAACAACAAGACTTTACCATCAGTCATCAGTCATCAGTTGAACAATTCAGAGGCAGAGTTGAGTTCTTCACTGCCGAAATCTCCAAAGGAAACTTCTCTCTCAGACTGAAGAGTGTCAGAACTGAGGATAAAGGAGTTTACAGGTGTCAAGTGTTTGCTGGAGATTTATCAGCCAATGCGACTGTAGAGCTGGAGAGACTGGGTAAGGAACAAAAACAGTGAATATGCTCTAAATTTAAATGAAAAACTTGCTAAAAAATATTGACACTTTGCCAATAGCATTTATCATGACACATTTCGTCACCTTATAATTAAAAGGTTCTAACAGACATTTTTTTGTCGAAATTGAGTTATTGACATATTCTTATTTTTTTATAAGTTGTTTACAATTTAACACGTTTTCTTTCAAAAACAAATGTTACACACACATTGTTTGCTTTATGGAATGCAAAAACTTTGAAGCTCAATATCTCAAAGCCCTTCAGAACGCAGATAGAACCTTATAATTTTAAGATGACAGTTTGTCTCTGTCTTTGCCTTCAGAAGTACACTCATAGGGTTTATTGGTCATAAATGACCCATGCATTATTTTAACAGCAGAAAACCCTAAATCATGTTTTTTTTATCTTGACATTAGATTATTTTTTTTAAATGACCCCAACATTAGGTTAAAAAGATGTGTTGTTTTTTCATGATAAGGCTGTACACCGTTTACTTTAGTCAAAAATGAGAAACACTGATGAAATACTGCACACTGATGAGGGAAACCCTAGACGTTCACTGAGTTTACGATAAAAATGAGGTTCTTCATGTAATTTGAGGACTGAAATGAAGTTTAGCTGCTTTATTTTAGAGGTTTAGTAAAGGTGGGTCATTTTTACTCAGAGGTCAAATGGTACAGACAGATTTCTAAGACTACAGAAGGGTTGAATCAAAGTCACTTTAGAGAAATTCATTATACTCGGTCGGTGGCCATCTTTGAAATGCCTCTCGGGCAGTATGCTCAGGCATTCTGTCTGAATGGGAAACATCAAATTCTCCAAAACTACTTGTTAAGCTTACGATTAAATTTCACATTACGGATAACCAATAAAATTAAAGAAGAACCGTCTGTTTAGTTTAATTTCTAAATGTTCGTACAGAGAGCTTAGAATCACCAAGAGGCGACACGAGAGATGCACAATTAATCGAAAAAAAGATCGCCATCTCGATTCGACCCCCTAGACCAGAGTTGTCAAACTCAATTCCTGGAGGGCTGAAGCCCTGCACAGTTTAGTTCCAACCCTGCTCCAACACACTTACCTGTAGGTTTCAAACACGCCTGAAGGACTCAATTAGTTTGATCAGGTGTGTTTAATTAGGGTTGGAACTAAACTGCAGAGCTGCGGCCCTTTTGGAACTGAGTTTGACACCTGTGGTCTAGACTATCTTTTCTATGATTTTGCCATTCATATTGTCAAGTTCAGTTGGAAAGAAAAGGCAAGCGCACAAGTCTTCACACTGTTTTATATACGCTGCTCAGTGACATGGACACCTCCAAGTGGTGTTGAAAAAGTCACATACTGTATTCATAAGGTGTAATTCACACAAAAATGTCATTTCTGTCTTCAGAGTGATGTATTTGCGGCCGCAATCACACGGGACATGAGCTGCTGACCGTGAGGTGTTGCACAGAGAGGGCGGGCATGACAAATGTGTCATTTTTACCAGTGAAAAAATCTTCTAATGATGTTATCAATGACAGATTGCAAGCACATGTCTCTAACACAGTAATTCAACATCAGAATTATGAACAGTTGTATTGAGATGTCATCACTTTACTCTGCATTAATTACCAGGACAAATTTAAAGTCTGTTCAAGTCCACCATTCAAAATCTATTCAATATTGAGCATTTTAACCAACAGTAGACCTACACATAATATTCTTATTGTTGTGTTCGGCTGCAATATCCTCAACACACAATGTCTATCTAACATAAAAAGGAATTACTTTAAAAGAATTAACAATCAAAACAGCTAAATTACTGTAGACAATATCATGACAAATAGAAACAGTTGTTTCCTCCTCTTCAGCATCAATAATTCCGCTTGAAAGACGGAGAGAGGGAGGTCTTCATGACCTATGATCTGGTTTTTGTGTGTCTCCTGAAAACAAAGTTAAAATAGACAGACAAAGAGAGGAGCAAGGACACTGAACATTCTTACATAAAGCAGTGTATTTAACCTATTCATTAGTTAAAATTAACTCAAAGTTAAATACTCATTCAAATAATCAAATAATTATATTTGATAAAAATAATGAGAAACAGGACGATGAGAAAAGGATAATCGTTGATCCATGCTGAGACAGATTGGAAGGTATAAATCCGAATCCTTCAGTGGCTAAATAATAATAAGTATTTATGTTTGGTGTGGTCTGAGATAAATTTGATAAATCCTTCATTTTGAGCAGGAAAGTGATGTGAACTTAAAACTAATTGTAATACGACACTATGAAACCATAATCCATGTGCTCATGCTCAAAAAGTGAAATGAATAAGGAGGCATGTGGACGTAATGCAAAATCTAATTCAAGTCATTTTAGCATGTTAAAGTCATATTTGTGCATATTAAATATATTTTCCCAACAACAAAATTGTGACTAGTGAAAATGCTGAGTGGCTAGTAATGTTGGAAATCTACTTGCCACAGTGGCTGGTGATCAAAAAAGTTTGTCAAGCCCTGGTTATGATAGTTATGAGTGTTATGACTGATAACGCACCTAAGTAATCTTTTTGCGTAATCTTTTTGCATTTACACCTCTGCATGTGGATTTGGGAAGCTTTTAAATTTGGGTAGGCAAAATCCAGGTGGAAATCCCAAAATAACAGCAGAGATTAACTGGTTACAGCCATGCTTGGTGAAAGTAACATCATTGTCATCATCATCATCATCATCATCATCATCATATTATATAAACTTTAGATTTGTCGACCTGCATACCTCGCTGCATACCGACATCTCTGAACAAAAGTCTGTTACTCCTGTTTCACGGTGCATTAGCGGCGCATGTTTTATCGGCGTGAATGCAAACAACCGGGATTCACTAAGGGGTAAAGGCAGTGAATCAGCTACGTCAGTGACACCACCAATAATTTAGTGGCTGCATTTTATTTATTTATTGAATTATCGTGAATTTACATAAGTACATTTAAATTAATAATGGCAATAGCAAAATCATATTGGGGTGGCCAGAGTTTATCCAGAGGTGCCTGTGGCCACCCCTTGGGAGCACCCCTGTCTCTACTCGTGGCTTCAGTCTGATAATTTCTTATCATAAAAAGTATGCCCACTATATTCAGGCTTATTATGCCCAACACTCCTAGTAACTTCCAATTATTCCAGAATTTCATTTCCACACCTTAAGCACTTTATCAAAAGAGGTGTGGTTATTTATTTATTTTATTCAGTTATTGTTATTTAGCAATATAATTCAAATAAAAATTTTCAAGATTAACATTTTTTTATAACAATCGATCAAAGGGGAATCAAAACCCGTGATTAATATGCTCCAATGAAAAATTAAAGTACCAAAATATCAGTAAACTCTAATGTCAAAACTTGTACACTGATTAAAATGAGGAATTCAAAATTCTAACATTATAGGTTATCAGTGACTCTATTTTTCTTTTTAAGATCGCTGTTCTTTGTCCCTCTTCTGAGATAGCACACTTCCTCGTGGTCATCTGTAGGCCTGCACTACTATCAGGTTGCTTCCATGCATTGAGGTTACTGTGTGTTCAGCTCCTACCCCAATACATGCTTGCACTCCCTATTTAGTTAGACCTCCCCTCTTGGCATGAGGGCAGCGGGTCAATCATTTGTTGATGCTATCTGGCCCAATTATGAGTTATTAACTTGGCTGAGGCTTGACCCAGATATGGTCCATTTTTGGCCCTTGTCTGGAAGCCAGGCTTGGTTCTGTCATGTACCATAATTCAATGCGGCATGTGGGCCAAGCAAATCTGATTGTGTGGGCCAGAGCTGGGCCAGTGAAATTTCGCTATGTGGGAAGAGTAGGAACCAACAAAGACTGAAAACTAAATTGTGCAACACAGGGTTTGGTAACATTCTCAAATCAAACCTGATTAAACACTGTATTGTATAACTGCAGTCGTCAGTATTTGAAGTGGATCAAATGGTTTTCAGGCAAGAGAAGATGATTGATTTAGGACAACTCTGGTGAAAGTTTTTGATCCACTTCAGATGTTGACGTCTTTATTGTGTTTCTTGTGATTTCTTCATGTAAAGATCAGTTGCTTTACATTCAATTAATCCTAAAAATGGTTTGTTTATTTAAAAATGTGTTGAATATATTGTACAGTGTACTTTATTTACAGATATTTTGTAAATGTGAATTGATCTTTGAGTGTTTTATGAGATAACTGAACATGTTTTGTAAATATTTGTGGATATTGCCTGTTTTGTGTTTGTCAGTTCTGATTATCGCTCCACATATTGTTTACTGTTTAAGCTAACAGTGAAGTTTATCAGAACTGACTGCCAAATCTGTTCAACAACAGTATATGTGCATTTCAAATGAGCATCAGTTTTGTAAAGTGTTGGAATAAGTTCATGTAAGTGCAGTTCAGTATGTTGACTGTATAGACATGAAGACTTTAAATAAGAAAATAAAGCTGTTACATTTATCTTATTTGTCTTTAGTTTCTTAATTTCTGTTCATACCACATTAATACTT